TATGGTAGTGAAAAAAGACAAAAAGTACAGGTATTATTTCTGGCATTTAATCAATGAATAATGACGTTGACAGTGCGTTATACTATACGGAGTAATTTCTTTTCTTTTTAATGCTTGTAATAATTTCTTTTTAGTTTTGCAAAAATTAAAGAAAAAAAAGTGTCCACTGTTCTTTTTACCTCACAGTCATAAAAGTGTAAAAGCTAAGATTGGGGTTAGCCAAACAATATTTGACGAAGTATACCCCAATCATATTTTTTGTGGGTACACAGCCATGGTATTCCACTGCTTTGAAAAATGGTCACCACTATTTTTATTTCTTACTACAATTTTACCTACAAAATACACATGATTTCAAAAAGTGTGATCTACTCATTCTCTTCGAGAAAAAAAAGATACATTATAAAATGAAGTAAAATCTTAACGTTTTTTGATTTATACTTATTACTCTTTATTATTTGAAAATTAATATAGAAAAAAAATAATAAAACTTACTACCTCCGTCCCATTCTCTTTGTCCACTTTTGACTTTTGGAACTATTCATTTAAGCACTTTGACTCATCAAATTCTCTCAATGTGTAAACCTAAATATAGTCATGTGTGATCTTTTTTGATTTGTCTTAACATATAAATTATTAATATATAATTTCTAGAATTTTTTAATATACAAATTACAAGATAAAATGGATTAAAGAAGTGCATTAGATAGTGTGCCAAAAGGTAAGTGGACAAAGAGAGTGGGACGGAGGGAGTACATATTTAAAAATCACATCAAAACTTGTATAAAATGAAAAGCTACAATAACATTTAATTTAATCAGATAATTAGTAAAAATACACAAATAAACAAAAGTTTCTATAACTTTTGAATAATGAAATGTAACATTGAAGGAATAATGTCTCTTTGGTAGTTGTTGAATTATCACTATTTGCATTTTCCACCCCAAAAGCACATCTAAAATTTAACATGGGGAGTCAATGGCTGATCTGGAAAATGAGGGTACCGATCACAAGAGTAGTGCAGGAGCCTTGGAATAGACGAGTAGCACCCCATTTTTTTTAAAATACAATGTGAAATGAAAAAAAGTACTCCATATTTTCTATACGGCTGACATTATCTAAATGTAATTTTCTTTATTTTGATTTTCTAATAATTATATAATGCTTCGTAGTTCGTACTCCCTCCGTCCCAAAAAGAATGGGACGGTTTGACTTTTTGGGAAATTAAGGGAATGATATTTTGGTATTAATTTTCCAAAAATACCCTTGATGTGATGGGTAAAAATAAGATGTGATGGGTAGATTATTAGGAAAAAGGTATGATGTGATAGGTAGGGTATGAAAAAGTAAGGGGTAAAAGTGGTTTTTAATAGAAATGTAACGGACTTTACGGGACGCAGTTTTTTCTAAACGTAACAAACTTTTTGGGACGGAGGGAGTATGTGTTATATAAATCATTTATATAAAGGTTCATAAATGATAAAATTTTTATAATAATGTATTTGGAAAGAACTAAAATAAAATAAGTGGTCGATACTCTTAAAAACTGTATGCGGTGTTGTTTTTATAATTAAAAAAAAAATTTATTTTACGTTATTTAAAATAATAATACTCCGTATAATTATGCATAACATTTAAATATGCAATGATAATAAAATAAATTATTTAAATTACTTGGAAATTGAAAGTTTTCTTAAAAATTAATATTAATTATGATTATTTGGTGTCAAAAAATGAATGTTTAATAAAAATTCAATAAAATTAATGGTTAACACATACTCTGTACTCCGTACTATTATTACCATATGTATTACTACCTCCGTCCCTGAGTATTTGTCCAGTTTTGATTTTTTCGGTCAACTCGTTTCAACCTTTGACTTATAATTAAATAAAATATATATTTATATTAACTAGATAAAATAACATTTTGAAAATATTTGATAAGATAAGTCTAATAAAACTATTTTTGTATCAATATTTAATATCATTTTCATTTAATTTAAAGTCAAAGTTTACCAATTTTGACTGAAAAAAGTCAAACGTGGACAAATATTCAGGGACGAAGGGAGTAAGGTATTATCAATAATACGGAGTAACTTTTTAAAATGCACTCCCTCCGTTCTAAAAATACAACACACATCATCTTTCAAATTTTTTCACTTCCAACAAAACACTTCCAGTTTCTATTAAAAACTACTTTTATCCTTACTTTTTATACTCTACATATCACATCATACTTTTTCACTAATAACCAATCCATCACATCAAAGGTAAATTTGAAAGTCAACTACAATTTAACACGTCGTTTTTTTTATATTTGGTCAAAATTGGAACTCTTTTTAAAACAGATGAGGTATTATAGATGCACAAATTATTATTTAACAAATAAATAAAACTTTTGTTGTACTTAATTTTTTACTCCTTAAAAAAGTTATTAAAAAATAGAGTGAATTGAAATATGAAAGTAAAAAAATGGAAAAATATAAGCGGACATAATAAAGAAATATGTAGTACTCCCTCCGTTCCACAAAACTCTTCCGGTTTTGACTTTGGGGAAAAATAAGGAAAGTGTAATTTTGGTTGACTTTTCAATTTTGCTTTTGATGTGATGGGAAAAAGTAAGATGTGATAGTTTGGTTATTAGTGAAAAAATATGATGTGATAGGTAGGGTATGAAAAAGTAGGGGTAAAAGTAGTTTTTTAATAGAAAGTGGAAGTGTTTTGTGAAAATCAAAAAAACGAAAGAGGGAGGGGTTTGTGGAACGGAGGGAGTATATTATTGTATGACATGACATTAAAAAAATACATGGAATGATATTTGATAGAAGAAAGTTTATGTGGTGGACGCCTCGCCAGAAAACCTAGATGGCATGACACATGGTGGAAGGAAAATTAATCTAGTCTACTCTGCACACACGCGAAGATTAGTTAGTGATGCTTCCTTGTTGTCTTTCTCGCCGCCGTTTTCAATCTCCAAGCATCCCTACCATGCTTGTGAATCAAGGATCCATACCAAAACTCCTCACTCTCATCATCATCATCATCATAGCATCTTCCTCCAACATCTTTGGAGCCGCTTTTCCCAGCAACCTTTGTATTACACCTTTGTTCTCCGGCCTCATTCTTTAGGGTTTCATTATGATGGCAACCATGACCATAATGACCATGACCATCATCATCATCATGATCATCACCAATGCGTGAAACCTCAAAGTAGAGATTACCCAAACACTCGGCCATGGTGAGATTGTAAGGATGAACCACTTCATGATCATCTTCACTACTGTAATAACACTTTGACTTGAAATTCTTGTCCTTCTTTAGGACATCTGCAAAGAGGATCGCCATATGCATATAAAATTGGAGATTATGAATATTATTATTAGTTTGCAAGAAAGAAAGTAATGGAATGGAATGAACACCCGCAGGAGTGAGTGATGGGTAATTACTATATATAGATACTTGGTTATTAATTAGTTGCTTCACAATCAAGGTTTTAGTCGGTGTAGGATAAGTTATACTGTAATTAATTTATCGATTAATTTTTCTCTTCTAATTAATATGCGCACATACATACTTGGAGAATAAGTAGTGTACTAGGATTAGGAATTTAAACAAAAAAACTTAAAACGAGTTTAATTTAATTTCCTGAACGTAAAAATTAGAAAACAAATCAAACTGACAGGGATAATGAGGAAAATGAATTTAGAATATGCCGCACCTTTAAAAAAATTGTTCCCCCCTATCAATAAATTTTAAAGCTTTGTTTGGAAACAACGTTTTAGAGTATATAACAATCATTCCTGAGCCACAACCACAAGCTTGAGCTTTTGGTTGAATTAGTTCCTTGACATGGTATCAGAGCATTGATGACCAAGAGGTCACGAGTTCGAAACTCACCGCCACCCAGTTTAAAAAAATTAAGGTTTCACGTGCAAGGCTCAAAGAGGTCACGCTTGCACGTGAGGGGGCGTGTTAGAGCATATAATAATCATTCCTGAGCCACAACCACAAGCTTGAGCTTTTGGTTTAGTTGGTTCCTTAACACAACGTTTTCAATTATTATTAGCGTTTTAGATAAAATTTTAACGGTATAGTTTAATTCTGAAAACGCTAACGATAAAGATTAACGTCCTAAACAAGGTATACCTCTTTAGACATATTTCTAAAGTTTTATTTATTTGTGGAATAATAAATGTTAGCTCGTTAATAGTGAAAACGCTAACTCTCTGCAGGTGTCCTAAACAATAATATCGTTCTGAAAATACTAACGTTAAACGCTAACTCTCTGCAGGTGTCCTAAACAAGAACAAGAATTTCATGTCAAAGTATTATAGTGAAGATATTATTGATCATGAAATGGTTCAATCCTTACAATCTCGATCACCATGGCTGAGTGTTTGGGTAATCTCTACTTTGAAGTTTGACGCATTGGGTGTGACGATGATGATTATCATGGTTGCCATCATAAAACCCCCTAATCAATGAGGGAGATCAATGGCGCAATACAAATTAATTATATTCTTCCCACTCTTCTTCCTTAGCTTTTTATAATGAAAAATTTGTACTAAAAATAGGACTAAAACATAAGTCATTTTCTAATGTAAAACTTAAACTTTTTTATTCACTAAATAAGACTTAATATTGTCTAATGAGAGAAATATTGTCCAGTGATACTGGACATTTACTTGAATAATGACTAATGGATAATGACCTATCCTACATTGAGAAATAAAAGCATATGATCCTATATTGAAAAGGTCATTATGTTTTAGTTCTATTTAGGTAAATTCCCCTTTTATTATTCCAAATGTACAAAAAAGCATCAAAAGAAGTTGCATCTCAAATTAACTGGCCATATATAGGTCTTGAATATTTCCTCCGTCCCAAAAAGATTTACACGTTTCAAAAAAATTGTGTCCCACAATCCCTTACCCATTTATATTAAAAAAACACTTTTACCGCTTAGAGCATATCCAATAGTGTTAAATATATTCTTAGTATATTTAATATTTATGTATATTGGTAGCTACCATAATTGTATAGGGTGCATTTAATATTGTTTCCTATTATCATTAGGAAACCTTTGTATATATACACATGTAATCTCCCATAATAATTTATGTGAAAATATTCATTCTTCATGGTATCAGAGCACTAATTCTCGGCTCTCGTTTTTCTCCTTCTCTCTCTCTTTCGATCGGCAACCTCTCCCCCTCTACCCGCCGATCTGCTTTCTCTCCCCCGGCAGCCATGGCCGATGAAAACTCCTCCTCCGGCAAGGTAATCTCCACCGCCGACACCTCTTCGTCCAACAACTCTCCCCATCTCGCCTTCACCACTATATCCAACATCAAACTCCATATTCCCGTGCAACTAAGTCTTTCAGCACCAAATTACAAAAAGTGGAGCCGTTTGTTTCGTCTCTTGATTCTTCGCTTCAATCTCAAGGGTTTCATCGACGGCACCACGCTTGCCTCCTCTGCGGATGATGCCGAATGGTATCAATTTGATGCCCTAATTCAAGGATGGATCTTGTCCACCATCACGGATGAAGTCTCTGATCTCGTTCTTGCCAACAATCTCTCTGCTCATGCACTATGGAAAGCTATTTACAATCTTTTTCACGACAACAAGCATGCCCGGGCGATGCAATTGGAGCACCGCTTCCGTACAACTGTGAAGGGCCACCTCTCCATCGACGAATATTGTCGCCTTCTCAAGAATCTCTCCGAGTATCTCGACGATGTGGATGCCCCCGTCACCGAGCATGCCCTTGTACTCCAGGTTCTTCAAGGCCTCCCTCACGATATTCGGGGTCAAGTTCAGTTTTTGCAATATCAAAATCCACTCCCGACGTTCTTGGAGGTTCGATCCGCCTTGCTCCTCGTTGAACAGCAACAAACTGACGCCGTATACGGCGCCGGAGCGCCGTCCACTGCCCTCCTCAGCACCGGCGGCGGCGGCGGACACACGAGCAGCGGACACCGGCAGGACCGAGGCGGCGGCTATGGAGGGTATGGGAGCAGCGGCAGCAGCGGCTTTGGCGGCGGATTTGGTGGTGGCTCCAGCGGACGCGGCAAGAACTCTGGCGGTGGCAGTGGAGGCGGCAACCGCGGCAGGGGTCGCGGCGGCGGCGGCAACCCACGGCACCCCTCTGGCTACACTCCCTGGACAGTCCCCTCCCCCAACCCAGG